TACTTTTCTGTACTTTAGGGGCATCCTAATTTAAGGATGTTTCAGTGAAATCATTACTATTAGCCTCAGTAGGTGTTGAATTAAACCCTAATTTACGTGGGACAGCTAATCATACGTAATATTATACCTGTTTTTCATGTGCCTCTCAGCCAAAGATCTAATAGCATTTTATGCAAGTAAACATAATTGCTGCAGAATATCTCCAGAATGTTTCTTGTGATTCAAGGCCTCTTATTCATCAGAGCACACTAATAGATACCTTATCTTCCCACTCCTCTGCAGCGCACGGAGCTCAGAGGGGCGGAATTCCTGATGTGTTTTACTCCATAGGTAGCTGGGCTCTGAACTGTTGTGGTGGGATTCCCACTCTCAGGCAGGTCTGCCACAAGGATGAGCCGTGTAGCCTGGGAAGAAACCCAGCGGATCTTTTATCATTATTGCCTTGTCTGTGGCTCTCAGAGAAGCAATAGCCCAGATCAAGACTCTGTTCAAAGGAGAGATGTCAGGACTGAATTGTTTTCTGGTGAAGGAAGGATGGATAAAATATTAAATGCAATCTTCTATTTGCCTTTATCTTTCTGTTCCCTGACAAGAATATTGTACTGTATTTCCATGGTTCTGTAATTCAAAAGCTGAAGGTACACAGGTTTGGGGAAATAAATGATTTAATTGTTCAACAGTAGAAATCGTTGTTATAAAAATAAATGGAGATTTTGTATTACATGTGCTTTCTTATGTGAAAGCACTTCTATCTCGAGCAGGGAACAGCACACTTTGGGGAGTTACCTGGTTTCATTTCCGTCCACCTGCTGCTGTAATTATTGTAATTTAATGCACAAAGACACTTCTACTTTCTGAGCAGTGGGGGAGTTTGCCCATGAATATTTTGGAAGAGGTGTGTCTGTCTGAGTCCTCTTTCCCAGTAGCCTTTAAACCTTTTGGGAAATACAGATGAAATCGAGTGATGGGGCCCAGCAGAAGGGGGACAGAGGTAGGAAGGAGCTCGAGATTTTAAGTTTCCACAGCTTCCGTGTGAACTGTTGGCTCGGGTGCAGGAAAGAGAGACGTGCTGAGCTCACCAGAGAGGAACAGACTGCACTGTGAGCTCTGGGGTACATCTGGCCTGGGGCCACACGTTCCTGGGTGGCTGAGGAGCCCCTGAGCCTGCAGGGTCACCCTGGAGGACCCACCCGTCCGTGAGGATGGGAGAGGAGCCAACCGTGGATGAGTTCCCAGACAGTTTGAGACGGGCGAAGGCTTGGGAGGCAGGGGGAGTTTGTGGTTGGTGAAGGGCAGCAGACTTGAGTATTTGTGGAGAGGTAAGAGGTGATGAACCCTCTGTAAAGGAGCCACTTTTGCTGGGGTCAGCAGCACCAGAGAACTGTGGCACAGCTGTCAGAAACGAGGCTTCCTTGGCTTCTCTGTGCACAGAATTTGCTTTAACATCTGCCCTGTCACTGTGAGAGCGTGTTTCTGGGGCAGAGTGTTGTATATTTACCTACTGATCTACCAAGTCTTTGGTCAGTGTTTTATTCTGAACTGTTTATATTTCTCTTTGCCAACAGCATGAGTTTTCTCAGAGGAAAATCCTGAAAATAGCAAACAGGCTGAGAAGGGTGGCCCAAATCTTGTGTCATATCTGGCATAAATTCAGAATTGCTTCAAAATGTTTATACTGAACCAGTAATTACCCTGATTCTTCTGAAGCCATCATTTCAAGCTAGGTAGTAGCTTCCAAAAGTTGAATTAAGCTTGACAGTCCAACACTGTTATTTAAAATATTGTGAGCTCTCTACCCATCAGCTGTTGGGGTGCTGAAGAGCATTAAAGCCTGTTGAAGTGGACAGACTCTGCTGTTTCAGTGGTTCTTGGGTTGGAGGTTAATGGAGAGCACGGCACCGGGGTGGGTACAAACTCCTGTGTCTGATTTGCCATGGATTGATTTTCTCTTCAGTCCTGGGGAGAGCAGGAGTTGGGGGCAGTCTCAGGAAAGCCCCCTGCACCCACCTCCCTGGAGGCCTGTGAGGAAGGGGTGGAGCACAAGATGATTTGGTTGCTCTCTGCTGCTTTCCTTGCTCTGCCATGGGGTTCAAGGCAGTCACCAGTCACTTGGTGTGGTCCAAGAAGGGATTAAAGGAGCAAAGGAGAGGAGGCAGTAAAAGGAGAGGCCGGGATGGAAGGGGACAGGAAGTCACCATAACTCATGTATAGGAGCAGTCTCAAAATGAAGAGGCAGAGTGTTCTATATAAATTAAATGTGGGTTTTCCTGGCTCGAATGTCTTAAGTTTTCCTAAAATTATAACTAGAAGTTCACTGATACAAAAACTAGTATTGATGTGTAGTTGTGTGTGTGTGTGAGTTGGGAACAGGACATAGAGGATGTAAACAATTTACAACCATTTATTCTTTTATTAGCTTTTATCTGTGTAACTCTGATTAGTTGCCATAGATACAGACAACACAGGATTTGTCTGGGTTAATGAAAAGTCTCTCATGCTGATAAAAAATGTGTGATTTTTCTTGAGAAAATTCTGAATTACTTCAATTTCACTATTCTTGGCGATGATTTTCAACTATATTTGAATTCATGTATACAATTAAATAATTGTGGCATTTAGTAGTCTCCTTTTCTCATACATAGCATCTGCAGAATAATTTTGAGTACAATGCAGTACTAAACAGATTGGTCTTTAGTGATTGACATGACATATGTCAATATTATATACTAACAGATATAAATTACTGTTTTGTCAGCTTACAGATGTGCTTCTGTATTTCTAAAATAATTTTTATGTTTTTTTTCCACCTTGTAAAACAACTCCAGAACACGATCAGGTAGCTGATGGGCTCACAAGTATGGTTACCAATGTGCACAGCTTCATATCACGTTTGGTTGTGTTCTTCCTACGTAACAGTTCGGTATCTCAAGATAAAAGAATGAGTGTGACTTGGCACATCTTAATTCCAGCTACTCTGTCCAAATAGAGAGCAGTTACTTGCTGTAAATGTAACTCAACTGATTCAAGAAATAGTTTCATATGAAGAAAAATTTTAAAAATTATTTAGCTTTTCTGTTACTATTTGGTAAGTGTGTATGGGATGCTTCTAGTTCAGAATGCTATGGACACTGGTTTCTAAGGAGTTCAAGGTGGCCACATTTCTTTCAAGTGTGTTTGTCACTGTCCAGGTCCTGTCGTCAGGATGAACCTGAAATAAGTAGTACTGTGGGCAGGGGAGAGATGCACCATGTGGGGAACAGAGAAGAAGGAAAAATATTTTTGAGTCAGCTTGATTTAAAATAAATATATACACAGTGGTTTCTTGAAGGCTTAGAAAGAGTGGGCACAGCCCTGGCAAAGTGGGTGTGTGGTCAGGGTGCAGCTGGGAGGCAGGTTAAGGGTCGATGTTGTTCCAGCCTGTGGAAGGTGGTGAGTTAAGGGTTTAAATGATCCTTTTTCTTTCAGGAATGCAAAGGGTTTTGGTGTAAAGGCTGAACTCGGAGCACCAGTAAATACATGGATTATGCACTGGGCATGTGTCTGGCTCCAGCAGAGATGAGCAGCCCCTGCAGCTGCAGCTGCTTTCCTGTGAGCAGGGAGGGTCGTGCTCAATCAATTAATTAACACAAACTACTCCACACTGGAGGACAGAATCCCTCAGTTCAGATGCTCACGGTGCTCAAAGGTTGTGGGCTTCTACCACTATTCCCTGCAAGCTGAGCCACATTCACTGCACTCCATTAAGCCTTTTGTGTTTGTGGTTACAGGAGAACAGGATTTGCCCCACTGCTGCAATTTAATAAGCAGGTATAGGAGAACTAACATGGATGGTGCAGTTCTGCAAGGAGTCTGACTGACTATGGTACACAAGAGGAAGAGTGCCATGTCTCAGCAGACCATAAATGCTTCCCCTACAACCTTTCAATAAAATTACCCTTAACTGTGTACTTAATGGCTGGAGTGAAGATCTTAGAATAAGTATTTCCCGGGGAAAGAAAGGTAGGTTTGAACAGCACTAAGTAAATTTGGGGATATTAAAAGTACTGAAAATTTTACCAGATGTCTTACAGGTTTGAAACATAGCTTAAATCTTTTTAGAGATTAAACCCTATTTTTCTAAGTTAGAACAGTTTATTTTGCTACAAACCAATTGGAATTAATAAAAACAATGGACTCCTACAGATGAAAAAAGAACTGTATGTGTGGACCAGGTTTCACTTTAAACTCCATGAGACTGCAGAGACTGTAATTAGGTCCTTTCCATTTCTAAACGTTCAGATTCACAGCGTCCTTAGGGCCCAGTTTGGGAATTTTCTCTCCATATACAAAGTCAGGATGAGGTATTCAGTAATTCAGTACCTATATACCAATTTAAAAATATATAATTATTTAACATAGCTGTAGAAACATGTATACTAATGTTTGTCTTTATCATCACACAATGTCTAAGTCTTCGTGATCTTTTTACTGAATTTTTGGTTGTCTGCTCGAGTTGAGAATCTCCCCCCACTGAGCCCTTTTCTTCAGCAGACCCAGAGGACAGAGCTGGGGTCCCCTGTGGGACCTGCACCTGCAGAGTAGCAACATCCAAATATGCCACTCACCTGTTTCCAGTGCCGGGATGTGCAGGAGGATGGGGCACACATGGCTTTATCTGCTGCAAATAGCTTGGTCCTCAAAAGGCTCCTGAATTTAAACTGGTCAAATACATCTACAGGGAACACGACTGTAGCAGGAGAACTGAACAGATTTGTCCTGAGTTGTAAGTGAACAAGGTGTTGTCTCACATGTTTGCACTTGAGTTCTTTACTCGGGTTAACTTGGTGAAACGCAGTAGAAAGAATAATGATAAAAAACATTACATGTAATGCTTTGAGAATGAGGCTCAGTAATCCACTGAAGATGTTTAAAAGAATCCAGCAGTCAGCAGCTGTAAACCTGAGCATGAGGGAACTCTTCACTGCTGCAGGACTTACGAGTTTGCCGTGTTTTCTTTGCAGGGTCTCGGTGTGTCTGGTGGGAGTCAGGCTGGCCTGGGCACTGCTTCCCCCAGGCAGTATCCACGACAGAAAATAACACGTGTAAACCTCAGGGACTTCATCTTCTACATGGAACAGGAACGAGAAATGAGCCATTCTCTCCTGCTCTATCGAGCTCTGCTTAAATAAAGCCAACAGTTGTACTGATTGCTCCATACAGAAGCTCAACTCACATTGAAAGCTCTCATTTTAATGTGCCTTCTATTTTTTTCAGAAGTCAATGTTCCAGTAATTTTGTTTTGTAAAATTGTCAGACACATGCAATAAATTTCCTTTATGTAAAAAAAAATAATAATATAAAAACCACCAAAAAAAAAAAAAGTGCAAAAGGTTTTAAAATGTTAACTCCACAGATATAACCAACATCCAAGTCTTGCTCCATTTGGCCATTTTAGGTAAGGCTGAAGTAGCTGGTGTTGCAGTCACACAAATGCAAGGCTGCTGCAATGGCTCACCTAAAGCATCTCCTGGCCAGGACTGGGACAGGTCAGAGGACTGGGCCCACCCCTGGTGTTCTGTGTGTTCACCTGTGGGCTTTCCTTCTTCGTTTACTGGCGCTGTCTCACCAACCATGGTGGTACCTGGTCTTGTTTTAGCTTAGTTATAACGGCGGTTTTTTGCACAGCCAAGAGACTAGCACACTCTCACAAATTCTATATATTTGGGATTTTTGCTTTTACTGCACAGCTCATTTCCTGAGCCATTTGCTGAACCAAATCCTAAGTGTATGAAGTCTGTGTGCTTGGGTCTCAGCTGAGTTACCCTGACTAGCTTCCAGTTGTTTTCTAAACCCCTTCGACCTTTTGTGCATTTGTAGCAGCTGGTTAGTAACATGATTCAAAGTTGGGTTTTATTTTCTAAAAGATGTTAATTTATTTATTGCAAAGAGTATGGTTTAATGGTGGTTTTAAAAGAGAGTATTGTTCAGTAAAGATTTTTAGAGTATTCTATATGGATTTTTAAAGCCGCTCTAAAGGTTTTTGGAGGTCGGTTCCACCCTGGGACCGGTGAGAATCCCGGTGCCACCAGGGGTGGCGATGCCTTGGATTCCAGTCCCGGGAGGCTCATGAACAGGCTTTAAGCATAAGGAATAGTTGTAAGTAGCTAAAAGGTAGGAGGAATGCTTTTTAAATGCTTTGCTGAAGCGGAATTCTGGGCCCACACCAAAGCCGAGCGAGGTCAAGTGTGAGTCTTTAATGGGGATCGGAGAGGAGCAGTCACAGGCAGGTGGGCACAAGTTGTATTTCAGACTTTAAAAGTGTTACCAGTCACCACGGAAGGGAGACATTTGCTTATTTATCTTTTCCATTTTTACTATGTTATGCTTGCCACTTTTTTGAGGCAATATTTTTTTTTTTGATGGGAAACCATAGCAAAAGCACAAATAGAACTATTTGTCCAATAGTTTTAAAAACAAAGGTTTTAATTATTTTTTAAGGTTTATGAAAAGCAGAAGAAAATTTATACTGCTGCTATTTAGCCAAAAGATTATTCATAAGGTATTTAAGGCCAGGAAGTGTAAAGTTATGTTTTAAATGTATTGATAATTTGTACATATTGTTTATAAAGGCCTTGTGTTTATTAGAGTTACGTTATTTTGATGATTTCTGTACATACTCGTAAATACCCCCAATTTGTGTGAAAACATACTCCCTTATTTGTACTTATTTTGTAAAGAAATAAAACAATTTACTAAAGTAACACATCGAGTGACATACAGTATTAATTTATCAAACATGAATTTCACATTGTCTTGTAGTTCTTTAGCACTGGTCAGAAAACATTTTGCATCAAAATATTAACAGAATACTCACAAAGAAATATTAAAACCCAAATACTTCAATGTTTTGTTGTGCTGATTCTTATCCTTTGTGAAACATCTAATAAAATTGTCAACAAACCTCGATGCCATTAGCACAGAGAATGGATGCACTCAGCAGTTGCTTTCTGGGGAGCCACGAGTCCAATAAGCACAACAGAACATTCTCCTTCCCTTTCTGCCTGCGCTGGGAGCGCGGGGCTGGGACAGCCCTGCACACAAAGTGCTGGGAGGGCTCGTGCTTGTGGGGCCACGGGGTCAGTGCTCGGCAACAGCGAATCAGAACAGTTGGGTTCAATCGAATTAGGCGAAAAACCAGGCTCAGCTTCTCGGCCTCCGCAGCAGAACCATCTGCTGGCTGCACACAGGGCCTCGCTGGAGCGGCTGTGGCATTCTGAAACCTCTCTTAGCCAAGCTGAGCAATGTTCTTCATTAAGTTGCGTTACTATGGTTTAAGGCCAGAAGTAAAAATTCAAATCAGTTTTTGTTGATATTGCTGCCTAGAAATACAGGGAAATAAGTAAAAAAGATATAAATGAAACTGTAATAATCTTTAAATAAGTGACCTGAAGTTACTAACTAAAAGAACATGTCCTAGCTTAACAATTTTTTTTTTTAAAGGCATTTTTCTTCTAAGAAATTGATTGTTTCCACATGTCTTCCTTGCCTTGGTGCTATTTTGCAGTCAATGCTGTGATGTCATGGTTCAAACTTTCCGTCTCGAGTTTCACATTTAACTCGGCTGGTGCAGCCTGGAACCCTTTCCAGTGCCACCTCAGCAAAGCTGCCCCAGGTACTGGAGCTGCTTCATTGAGCCATAAAAAAACCACGGTAAACACCAAACTGAGGAAAAACCAACCACAAATACTTCCCATGTCCTACACGTGTCCAGAAGCATCATCCCCCCTGGTGCCCGTGAGAGCTGCCCGTGGGTGCTCAGCGCCCGGTCCTGCGGGCAGAGAGCCCTGCGGAGCTGGGCAGGCCTGGCTGAGCACCAGGGGCAGGATTGGGCCCCTGTGATCCAATGTCCCCAGGAGGGGTCCCCTTTGCTCCCTGGCTGAGGTAAGAACAGGAGGGGATGCGCTGCCAGAGCCGCTGCGAGTGCCACTGACCCTGGTCAGGGCGGCAGGGTGGATACAGGAAAAACAGGAACCTGAACAGATTAGTTAAGGATACTTTGGACTGAAAGAGAACTCAATGTATGAAAGTAATAAATAAAAAGACTTTTTTTTTCCTTTCTGTGAGACATGGCTACATCAAGCTGAATGGAGCTAAAGGCTGTAGAAGACACAATCAAAAATTCTCACCTCTTTCAAACAACATGGGAGATACAGTGAGTGTTCCACCCTACGTGCTTATTTTTGTTCGTTTACTTTACAGAAATGTTTATGGCATGAAGTACTGTATAAGAAATGTGCATACACAAATACATGACAATTATACGTTAAGTTCTTTACAATATTAAATGTATAATATACAATTCTACAGATATCTTACATACAAAGGTGAATGTTGTGCCATATATTCAAATATGGCAATGCCTAGCGACTTTAGAATGTCGTACAAGTATAAAACCACAAAATAAAATAACTTTACAACTCTTAAAGTAGACAGATTTGCTCAACTGTTCTGCTAAGGTAGCAGGCCAACCGGCCAGGATCGCCATTAGAGATTTCTGAGTTGGGTGACCAAGGTGAGGAAACCTGCAGAGGTCTGATTTTCCATGGACAGGTATCCAGCCCTTTTCCAAAAATTAGACCCCTGCCTAGATTGTTCCTTGGATAGTCAGTACAGCTCATCGCTTTTGAAAATATTAGTCTTAAATGTGACTTTTTAAATTTTGCCTGATTGCAACCAACTGGCACTGAAGAACTGTCGACCACCTAATACTCTCTCCCTTGTTCTACATGGCCGTATTTGGGCATCTAAAACGAGTTTAATTAAGATTCAGCATCTACAACAGTATTCTGTAAATTAATGTGGGAGAAACTAAATTGTGATTAACACATGAATTAGTTATTGAGGACCCAATCATGCTGAACAGCAACAAACAGGATTTCGCAGAATGCTATTTATAACCTCGCACCTGCGAACGCGGCGCTGTCTCCTGAGTTAGGGAGCCCTGTGAGTCGATGCCAGTTCCTGGCAGGAGCAGGACCCTCCTGCAGACCCCTGACTTCGTTACAGAGAAAGGTACACAGGTAGAGGGCGGCTACAGAACTAATATTTTAATAATAATTTAAATTAATAAAACAATTTAAACCAAAGGCGGCCTGCTTTCATCCGGCAGTGGCAGTACAGGGTTTTAACAGCTCTTTGCAAGAATTCCAGACCCATAAAGAGTTAGGCCTGTCCAAAATTCTTACACTTTCCTCCTAAATGTGGGCTTCTAGCATGGTTAGTAAATGATTAACGAGGGGTGGCAGAGCTTGCTTGGCAGAACCACGTTTCTTTGATGATGCAAAACTTAAACAGTTTCTGTGTCAAAACAAGACTGGCTTTAAGAGAGCTACAGCTCCGTGTTGGGTATGTGACCCTTGTGTGATGGTGGATGGCATTTTATTTTGTGCTTCCAGATCCCTACTGTTGCAAAAATCGGCCTTGTCTAACTTTTTGTCACTTTTTTTGTTTGGTTTGTGTGGGGTTTTTAGTACTGAGCACCAGTTGACTATAAATCGGTCCTTTTCTGATTCTGGATCCTGTCCACAGAGAGAGACTTCAGTTGGAAATGTCGTATAAAAATAAGCCATTTGCTAGTGTGGGTGAGTACAATCACAGAGGTGCCCCGTGGTGCCTGGAGGTGTAAAGCACGTCTGATATGGAGGTGTGGCAGTCAGGGAGAGTCTCAGTGCAGTTTTTAGCGTTCCATCTTCCTCTCACAGACGTCCACGTGTCACAGCACTGGGGTGTCCCTGGGAAGGCTGGCAGAACCACAGCTCCTGCTGATCCATCCCACTGCTTTAACTGGTCTTTGCAGAAGTCCAGTCCAGTGCAGGGTCAGGGGGTTAGAAAGCTTTGCCTGTTCCACAGCAGTGCTGTTGAGCCCAAAGTCCATCCCAGAGACCTGCTGTGCTGAGCACTCGGGAACTCCACCGTGACGAACGGACAACTGGCTTCTCAAATGCATTTCGTGGCTGGCTATGTGACAGGTAGTTTCAGAATACCACTAATTGGCAACATAAAGTCAAAGTCTGTTTGCTAATACTGTTTTGCAAATCCTTAGTGTTTCACATAAGGGACTATTAAACACTTCTACGGTTACAAAGGGGGTACAGGGAGGGTCTAGTCCAGGGGCTCCTGTTTTATTCTGATTGTTGGGGTGGGTTGTGGTCGTCTGTCTTCGCGACACAGCACGTATTCACTGAACTGAGAGGAATCCACCCCACCACCACAGGAAGCTGCCACGTTAAATCCCTTCTGAAATAATCTTTCGAGCACCTGCAATGTGGGGGGGAAAAAATCAGATTAATATTTAGCAAATTTTAGTGATAAAAGCAGTCAGAAGCACCAGATCTAAATGATGGATTTAGTCTTTCCAGTCCTCATTGTGAATGAATATTATTCAGCTATAATTCTATAACTTATTGTTAAATGACTATACTGTGATTAAAGTCTCGCTCTCAGCAAACCTCTGTAGAAAACAAAAATTAATCAAAGAAATAAGCACTCTGCAGAGCAGCTTAGTACATTATATAGTAAAATACTGGACTGTGGTGATATTGATGCTATCTCTTACTGCTTATAGAAAGCAACATCAGGTTTAAGTTGTTATAAAAAGTGCCCATTATTCATTAGTAATATGAACAATTTTACAGAGAGGGGATGAAAAGGTCTTCCTTGGCAGATGAAAATGTATCAAGAGCCTGAATGACACATCCACCAGATTTTCCTGGCAATGGCAGCTGTTCTCCCTCACTGGAAGGGAGGGCTGCTGGTAGCTAAGCATGGCAGGGATGGGATGCAGAGCCAAGACATGGACAATAGGGAAATGTTCTGGCCCAAGAAAGAGGTTAATCTGTATTGCCCAAATATGTATTTTTTCTTTCTCCTCCTAAAGAAAAGTTGGTGCAATTTAGATGCATGAATTTAAGGAACCCAGAGGCAACTTTAATTTCTGCGACTGTCACACAGCACATTACCCCAGGACATGCTGATCTTGGCAGTGTGATCGGGGCCGTGTTTTCACATGTGTGAGCGTGTTGATATTTGGTTCCCAGCAGAGCAGGACGCACACAGGCTTCTCCCAGAGTTAGGTGAGAGCAGATGCCAGATCCTCCTTTGGCAGATCTGCAGTGCAGGACCCACCAGAGGAGACGCCGTGGTGCTTCCCTAGTCCAGGGCAGCAGCCTGGAAGAGCAGTTCCTGTGGTTTTCTGTGTGATAAATGCTGTCAAGGGGAGCAGCCTGTGCTGTTCTCCAAGGGCCTCACCCAAGGTACTGCTTCCATTCCTGCAGCACGTGGGAAGTGAACTGGTGGTTTACTGAACCTGACGGCCTTGGCCACACCAGCATCCCCATGTGACAGCCACCCTCAGCAACAGGGACCAAGCCACTTGTTCACTCAGCCTAGAGAAGTGTCTAAGCAATACACCCACCTTCGGCCCACTTTCATGGGCACAGGTTGTAGAAAGAATTTAATTTCTTTTTCAGTTCCAGCGGCCCCCTGAGCACACCAGCAGTTGCACTGACTTTGGAGACTGCACTCCAGACCACTGCCCTCACCCTCACACACAGACCCACGTGAGGCCACAGTGCATTTCTTAGTGCAAAGCCTGACTGTTGGCTTTGTTTTTTCCAGGAACATGATTTCAGAAGAACAGCTGTGTCTGAGGTGGTGTGGCAGTGCAGTGCAAACCATGGCAGCATCATTTGCTGGCTTTCATCTGTTCAGTCCCTCCTTAGAGGCTGCCTGTGCTAACCATCTGCACCCAACCCAGGGTTTGGGTTTTCAGTGGTAACTAAAACATTTTACTTTTGCTCCCCTGGCTGCTAAGGACGGGCAAAGGAAAGAGGCTGCTCCAGCACAGCTCTGCCTGAGCCACGCCGAGTGTGCTGCAAATCAACTTGCCTGAGGAGCTCTGCCTGGCCTTGGGACATGGGGACTTAACGTTCTCAGCAAGTCACATCTGCCAAATCTCCCTGACTTTTGCCCTGATTTTTACATACTCTACACAGTAAAAAAGTTGTAGAACTGAAAGATCAAAAAACAACACCAGAGTATGGAAGAATAATGAACTGAGAGAGATGAAAAGAAGGGGCAGGAGAGTGGGTTATCAAAATACATTTAAAAGACAGAGAGAGAAAGCTTTCATCTCCCTTATTTGTCCGGGCTGTGTGGGCTCTGTAGGACAGAAATAGGGTGCAGACACTGACACTTTTTCCTCTCAGAGAGGAAGCCAGGAGGAGTTTGAGACGGAAGGAGGAACAAGACATCAGCAGGCTGGGAGTGTATTTTGAGTGTATTATGTATCACTGCTCCTAGCCCTGGCAAGATGAAGATGAGAGACAACCCAGCCACGGGAAAGGAGCCTTCTCCCACTGAACTGGATAGTGGAACAGAGGATTGACAGCTAAGATTTCTGAGAGAGACGGGACTTCAAAATCCTTGCTAAAAACTTTTAAAAATCAATTTGCTTGTAAGACAAAACAAGCACGGGGGTGCCCTTGGCTTGCCTCAGACCAAAGCTATGGAAGGCTGCATGTTAACATAGGATTCTTTTTCACCGAGCCTGCTCTGTGCACACACACAGTCCAGGCAGACATTACACCTCAGAGCACCGCGCGGAACAAAGCGATTCGTCTGTGCTCGGTACGTGCTGGAAGGACACACTGCAGGCCACAATCCAGGGGTAAAAACCTTGGCATCATCAATTTTCTCAGCACGAAACGAAACAGGCCAAATCCTGTAAACAATGCAGAGAATGTTTAAATATTGCAGAGTTTTAAGTGTCATTTGGATGAGGCCGAGCTCAGGTCTAAGAGCAAGGCTCCTGCAGGGCTGCCCTGGGTGCTGGGCACTGGTTTGTACACCCTGGCACGTGCACGAGACTCAACAGCATTTTGAATGTGGACAGGCTTAAATTCCACTTAAGAGAATTTGACTCTACGCACATCACTTCTTCTGAAGGTAAGATATGGACAGGGGAAAGAGTAACCATCTCTGAAATCAAATCAGAGCTACCTTCCTGAAAATCTCCAAAGAGAATATGCCAGAAGTGAGTCTCAACTGTGACTCTCCTGTGTGTGGGACACACACACACAGTAATAAATAAAGGATTTGTGCTAGGATTTCATATATGCTGTCTTCCAATATTCCAAGTGCATCTGATTTTGTTGGAAGGTTTTCCAAATGGAAACATGATCCTTTCCTTTACTTCATTTCATGTAAATTTTGCAGAATACTAACAAACACATTCCTAATTAGTGTTCAACATACACAAGCATCACAGAATTTTCTCTAAGGTAAACTCATGATTCTCACCAGAACCTGTTGCAAGGAGTTGAAAAAACCTTTATACCTTTATATAATTACAAATGGGTCTAAAATTAAGAGTTACTGTATTTTTTTGCCTACCACTACCTATTCAGTGTTGACATTTTTTGTTTTATAGGCACAGTTCTTGATACAAACCATTTAATAAAAATATTCTTAAAATATAAGAAGAAAATGTATAAAGAGTGCAATTCTGCTACCAAATACATTCAGCAGGGCACAGGGAGACAGAAGAGAAGTATCTCAGCAGATAGCAGACAGGCTTCCTGTGTTGCTCTCTGGGAGTCTTTGGAAGCAATTGTGCTCTTCCACCCACTACCCATCTCCCTTAAGTCTGTGTGTTTGCTTCACTGTACTTCCAACTTCTGACTTAATATTATTTTGCAAAAAAATCCTGGGAAGGGGAAGAGCAGTGCCTGTGCACTGACCAGAGTTCATCAGAGCCAATGATAATTAGCTGAGCCTTTGGTCTCAGAAATGCATAGTTTTCCAGAAAGTGTTTGAAAACACTTTCTATTAATTATATAGTAAAATTATGTAATTTAGTAAAATGATGTAATTTAATAGTATTACTTATACTGCAGACTCTTTGACAGAGAATTTTTTTTTACAATGTGAACTCTTTGATTCTGACTGAATTTTGACTGAATTCAAAACACATTCAAATAATAACAGTAATTAGTGTACAGCTTTTCCTACAAGCACACGTACCCTACTAGTTCCACTGCTGTGGATAAAAGAGGGCCATGCTAAGCCGTGTGGGCACCCAGTGCCTTGCCAGGCCGCTGGCAGTGCTGAGCTGGTGAGTGGCTCACAGGGACCCTTTGTTGCTGCAGTTATTCTGATTCCTTGTGTGCATCTAAGTGGATCACAGGGACAGCGGGGCTCAGACACAAATGCTCTTCCCTCTCCACCTACCTGAGCTAAACTGCAGCTGCTCCCTCCTCCCCCAGCACGGGGATGAACTGTCCCTGTCCCACTGCCAGAGCACGGGGCTGCTTTCGGGGCAGCCCACTCCAAACCTTGCCAGACATCAAACTGCTAAAGGACTGTGCAGAATTAACCACAGGCTGTTAAAGTTCAACCAAATACACCACTCGGGAGTCTCGAACCAAAAATCATCCACAGCAGCTGGGTTTAGGATGGTTTCAGACAACAATGTCAGTGCAAACTGCACCAGGGAACACTGCCCCACGGAGGGGGGTGTCACCATCGAATTCAGGGTGTTAAAATGACTCCATCCATCTTTACATATTCAGGTAACTACAGGTCTCCTGAAAATGTTGTCACCTGGCAGCTTGGGAGGTGGAGGGCCCCTCAGCTGATGTGTAATAACCACAGGTAAGCAGGACCTCTAGGTTCTTGTCCTCCCTGGCTGTTGCACCTCCCTCCCCATCCACCCTGGCCAGGCTGGGCCATGGGCTCTTCTGCAGCTATTTGCCCACAGGGGAGTTTACCAAGACCACAAAGGCATTTCCCACAGCCCAGTTCACACCTGCAGCCACACCCCACCTGCAGGGGATGGTATGTTTGGAAATATTCCCCTACAGGTTGATTTCCCTTTCCATAACACAAGTATTTGCAGCTTGTTCCAAAGGCAGACACAAACTAAGAGCTCTGTCTTGCCCTTGTTAATTAAGGCACAAGTTAATGGCATCATCACCCCTGTTCCTCTCCACAGCCCCAGGACAGCCACACCACGGAGCTCTGGCTGTTGTGGTGATGATCCCTGGGAAATGGCACTGCTTGTCCCTCAGGCAGCTGCCTAAACACAGGCCACGTATTTATTTCTGCTGCCATCCACCTATCTGTCCAGTTATCTTCTTTTGTTTCATATGTTTAATTTTAAACCTAACGTCAAAACTCTGCGTATAAAATGAAATACATTTTGTTTAAAATACTCTGGGCAATTTTTATAGAACATCCTTTTGAAAAAAAAAAAAAAAGTGCAGAGATCAATTTTTTTAAGTCCATCCCGCAGGCACCATCATTTAATTATGAGTGAGACATAAATTATGCATTTACACATTGTTGCATTTTCTATAAAATGGTGTGGAGATTTTTTTTTGTAGTTTTTGGAACTCTCTCTTTCTTCCTGCAGGCACTTTGGAGGAAAAAAAAAACTGCTGAAGGCTATACATTGATGAAAAAATTAGCATTTATCAGTATAACACCATTATGAGACCAGCATGGCACTAACATACACAAAATCTAAATCTATTTTTCTGCTTAGACTTAGGAAAACCTGAAAGACTGTGATCTCACCAGGCAGAAAATGTCTCCTCACAGTATAAGCACTGAAAGTAATTGGGCAGAAGCAAATAATTTGCATATAATTGAAGAAGACATAATAAAAAAACCACCCCAGCAAATGGATGAGCCAGCACCAAAAGGCCATTCATTACCTGCACTGAGTTCAACCGGCAGTATCCGTTCAAGGGAAACCTGATAACGTGGGTTGGGTCCTGGTTCCAGCCTGCGTTTACAGAGTTGCACATGACATCCCCAGTCTCTGGGAAGATCTCTTCTATTAAAGCCTTCTCCCCACTCAATGCAATTCTCTCCCCCAGATCTGGAGTCACTCTTACAACCAAGCAGTCACAAGGCTGGAAATGTTTCCTTTGTTCTTTCTCTTGTTTCCATCGCTCAAGTTCCTTAATCATTGGCTGCAGCTGGTAATACTTTGCTTCTTCATATAAAAGATTAAAGTCCTGGGAGGAAGAAAAAAGAAAAGAGAGGGAGAGAGAGAAACTAGAAATGCTTATAGTTCTCTTTTAAAAACGAGTATTGTTCCTGTTTGACCTACTTAGGCTTATGTACTGTCAGCAAGAGCGCAAAGGCAACAGGTATCCACATATCTTCATCTTACACCTACACAGAAAACCACATGGTGTTAGTGTTGAATCTATTTGAGCTGACCATGAAGTTCCCATTGCACTGAATTATCCTTTCATTTATTATCCCACAAGCTCAATGCCAGAAGGCTTTAGTCTTGGATTAAGAAATCAAAATAGCTGGTTGCAATAAACAAAGCCTACTGATGTAAGAGAAGATGTTCCAAGCCCTAATCTTCAGTCTTGGCCTCAGATACTTCTGATCTTACAACAGATCTCAGGCTTCGCTGTCGCCTCTCACACATGTTACGAGATGGAGATGTCAGTTCAGCTTCACTTCTCACCTGTCTTTGCTGAGGCTGAAATTCAGCTGCAGCAGCTCAGCTGCTCCCTGCATTTCATGACTATTCATGTATTTAAAGCATACTTTGGAGCCTGGTAAATTATATGGAGGGAGTGACCATCCTGCTGGCTGGGAGCTCAGCTGTGCACTCCAATAGCTTAAAAGAAGCTGTTCTTTCCTGCCATTTGTCCATCACTTCACTTCGGCTTTGGGCAATTCAAATTCCCAATTTGATCCAGTCCCCAGTTCAGTGATTGAGATATCTGCTGCACATCCTCATCAGATGCACATCCTTTCATCAGGTTTCTGACACATCTTTCCACCTCAGCCACGTGAGAGTACGTGGAGGCAAAGGGTGTCAGCCCCCCCAACTCAAGGAGGCAGCAGTGCCCACCAGGCCAAGCCTGAGAAAAAGGAGAAGGAGACACCCTCACTGAGCACTCTGCTTAAAGTGGTCACACCACCTCCTTCAGCCTCCTGAGGGGAAGAGGAGCAAAAAGAGCACGGCACCAGCAAAGACCTGCTGTTTGCTTTCCTGGCTCTTGCACCTCTTTAAAGATGCAAATGCTGCACCCCAGGTAAGACAGTACCTGACTTTTGTGGAGTATGCTGGAACACCTGGAACAAAGGCTGGTTCTACACCAGTGAAATGAAACAAAAAAATCACAAGAGTGAAGTGACTGGAATCATTTGGACTGGAAAGAATGGCATGACAAGGAATAATCAAGAAATGGGCACTCAAATTCCATGAAAAATAACGGGTGTGCTGCTGCCCAGGGACTCAGGGAAGAGAGGGAATCAAGTGAACACGCAGCACAAAAAGGTGCGACTCTTCAGAGTGGTTTGGAATTAACCTGTAAAATCTGCTGCTGCAGGGTATTACTGAACCAAAGCAGTTAGCTCTGTTCAAATTTGGCACCACAGACCCACCACCGTTAGCTGAGGTGCTCCCTCACCCCAGGGCTGCCTGCAGCCTGGAGACGTATGAATATTCACAGTGACAGCGGCAAGGTTATCGCCTTACAAAAGGGACATCCAATGCTTTACATCTCTTTGATGTCTGTTAAGGCTGGGACAATGCACACACTGCTAAGGGAGGGAAAAAAAGACCGGAGCAGAGAGGAAGAGGGATAAGAGCAAGTGGGAAGAAATGAGGGCAACAAACACACTCACGGAACCCAGCTTGGAGATGAAAAACAACAGGAAGATTAAAGAAGAAATCGTACAGAAGGCATGCTGCAAACAACCAGAGTTGGGAACAGGCCAGGCAAAGAGCCGGGCACTGGCTGCACTACCTTCTCTCAGGTAAGAGAGCATCAGCCCCAAAGCCTGGTCCCCTGATGGAAGGTATTCTCACCCTTCCCCAAAACCAGTACTCTCTGCTGAACCATTGCTGCTTTTCTCTGTCAACCAGTGAAGTTCCCCGGATACTGAGCAGGGGATCAGTTTAAACCTACAGGGGTTAGTGCCCTAAATTAAAAAAACCCTGTCCCAAATTTCCTGAAATCTTCATGCTGGACACTGAATCAGCACAGTCCACCACCCAACCATGTTCACTGCAGAGGTGTGTGCAGTGCCCTACCAAACATTCACTTGGCATCTGCTGGTGCCACGGAGCTCTTTTTCAAACAAAGGAAAACATGCAATGCTAAGGAAAAATGAAATGCTGTAGAGGGAACAGGAGCACCCAGTGCTTACTGAAGGCAATGGAAAGTCATCCACTGTTTTCAGTGGGTCCTGAAAAACTAGTTTTAGAATATCTGGGTTCATGGTCACTATAAAATAAGGTATTATTTGTAAGGGCAATCAAGCGAATATGTGCTAAGAAAATTCCACAGTAAAACCCAGAAGAGATGGTACAGTGACAGAAAAAGCAGTCCTTCATTTCTGGAAGCAGAGAGCAGTGCTCCTGAGGCTGGATGCAAAGCCCATTACATTCAGGAGAGGCTCTGGCTGCCTTCACTGGGCTTTGCACTAGCCTGACAGTATCCTGAATCACAGGAGTTCGATGGGCTGCACCCCCGGGCCAAAACAGTACTGCCACAAAACAAACAAAACCAGGATCACATCACCCCGACCTCCCCCACAGCCAGCTCTTAGCCCACTGCATGGAATGCAGCTCCTTAGTGACTCCTGCTAGTCATCATTTGCCCTAAAATAAACAGGATAAATTTTATATTCTTGTTTCATTTTGTGAGAAGACAACCTGCTTTCAAATGAAACAGCTCTTCCACTACTGTTCCCAGACTGACACAGCCACACTTGAGGTGGCTGTGTGGAAATCTGGGCTGTGCTGGAGCATCACATGCTCTGTAGGACAAGGTGACCTGGTCATAACTGCCTGCGTTAAGCTAAGGTGTTTGGGTTAGTTCTAACATAAGACTCTCATCCCATGTCTATTCCACACTTGGATTGAGCACCTGAAAGATGGGTCTGTAATGGACACTGGGAACTGAGGTGTACTGGTGCCAAGGGGCAAAGTGCACGTTCAGCCTTAGGGAGCCTGGGCACCTCTTGTCAGCCAGGGCCAACAAAAGGAATTTGTTGTGCTGTAACAGGTAGAGGGGATAAAAAGGGTTTTCTGTAGGCAAGAGAAATTCACTGCTGTCCACTAGTGACAGTGCTGGGAAGGGACACCTTGTGTGACCCCCCACTCCACGTGCTGCCCACAGCACAGCTGGGCACCACCAGCACAGCCCGACCCGCTCTGCTCCTCTTATGGGCTGTGTGGCCTTTCTGCACTCAGGGACTGGGGCATCCCAAAGGAATCTGGCAGTGCTTTTAGGGAGGGAAGAGGATTCCCCCAAACCAGGAACAAAGAATGAGTGGCTCACAGCATGGGGGTCCAGTTCTCCAAAGCCTGTGCTTGGGCAGGGTCTCACACTCAACGCACCTCCAAGCCCACGGTCTTTCCCTTCAGGTTTTATACATTGTTTGGAGAGCTGTGTGTCTGTGACAGGACTGGAAGCGATGCCCAGCTCTGGACTATCTGCACTGAATGCTCAGGATGCCCAGGTAACACTGGCATAGGTAGGTCCACCCTTGCACTGTAGATATAAAATCCTACATGATGATTTGGATTTGCAAAAGTTTAGTAAGAAATATGAAGTAGAAGAGTTCAACCCACAAGGGACCTTGCCAGGAAGATGCCACAGGAACTGCAAGAAAACATTTCCATGCTGTTAGTTTTGATGAGTTACCAAAGGCAGATGTAGATATGAATCTCCCTGGACCTATCCAAAAGGCACATTTCCAGGCACAGGAGTAGCTACAGTGGCAAAGTGCTCAGGGGTTCATTGAGACAGCCTCAGAGCAGCCTGGCACAGCTTCTGGGACACTGCACATGGATACTGCACCCTCTGTCTCACAGGGGCTCCAGCCCTGGTGCCAATGCAGTGTTGCTGAGCAGCATCCACAGCAGATTTTGTACAGTATCCAGGAGTTCCTTGTCCTGCAGGACTAATGCCTCTTCCACTTCTTCTAAGGATTACTTCCCTACCTTCCCAGCTTCTTAACAGCAGTGTACCTTGTGGCAGCACAGCTCAGAGTCAAGCACTGTCTATGAGAGCTAAAGGAACTGCTTCTCTTTAGCTGAGGAAAACCACTTTACTCCGAAGGTGATTCCCACTGCCAGTAATGGTCCCTGCTCACAAGCAGGGTGCTCTTGGCTAGACTGAATGGGGAGATAGTACAGCCTCTAATTTTTCTGTAAAGTACCACAAAAAGCATTCATAGCTACCATGAGCTTCAACTTCTTATGGCTGTTGTAGGAACTAGTGGGGAAGTTCTGCCAGCTCACCTGCAAAAGGGAGCAGAGAGGCAGGTGGGATGCACACAGCCTTCCTCCATCCACATCTGGCCAACACTCAGATCTCATGGCAAAGGTAAACAGATCTTTCAAAGATGCAGCCTTTTGTCTTTCAAAAAAATAACTTTCTGCTTATTGTTGGACAGAAAAGTTTTTTTTTCTGGTGGATTTCACATTGGCTAAATTCTGCAGTCACCTATGACAAGGATGGCATCTTCCTGGGGAGGAGCTGGGAGATGTGACCTCAAGGCTGGTTGTGCTGCTGTTCTGATGTCGGTGCAGTGGGTCAGTACAGATCTGCCAACTACAAGCAGAGATACCCAACAGAAACTGAGACACCGTGTCTCCCGTGACCCTGATGCTGCTCTCTCAGTACCAAAGATATCTTGTATTTTTTTGTACCTAACGTTGACTCCTGAACAGGCTGAAATGGCTCTTTCTGCCTATTTTTCACTTGTTATTCTTTATTACATGAAACAACAAACTGTCATTCTGACTCAACGTTTCTTTTATATTTTTAGTGCTGTGAAGATCTGACTCCTGGCTACGAGAGAAAGTTGCTCACTTCTGTGATGACAACTGCACCATTTGCTAAGGTCAGTCTGAGAAGACTTAAAATTAGATGAAAGCACACTAATTTTGTAACTGTATTAATAAATTAGTGGTGGCCTTGTCATTCTGGTGACCTCTGTAATCCATATAAAACTCAGATGTCCTGTGCATTTGTGCTCCTCCCCTCTTTCAGATGGAGTAACTATATACACATTGCCTATGTCTATTTTTGTTTGATGCTCTCTGAGCAGGGAGTGAGTCTCAAACAAGGAGGTACAATGGGTCCTGGTTCTGCATGAAGTGAGGGAGACACGTGCTGCTCATAAACGTCCTGGGGAAACACCTGGCAGGGTGGAGATCAAGGCAGAGAATATTTGGGCACCAGAGGAGGAGCAGTTCCTGTGCCAGCCACCCCCTAACCCAGCAGCGTGGCAGACCCAGGGGGTGCTGGCTCCGTGCTCTGCTCCAGGACGTTGTGGTCCCATGCACAGGACACTGAACAGTGCAGGAGGAGGGAGCTGCAAGGGGCTGCTCACCATCACCTTGCTTGGCTGCAGAGCAGAACTCAGCCAAACCACTCACAGTAATTCCTCAACACACTTCATGTGGCTTAAAATCCCCCAAACCCAGGAAAACTGTATGAACTATAAGAGAGCTGCTTGCAGCAGGAAGATCTGGGAGACACTTTCAAGTTCTGTCTGAGTAGCAGTTGGAAGTGTAATTAATATTCACTGTAAACACACCACTCAGACTTGATAATAAAGAATCACTAGCCTCAGAACACAAACCCCACTTTTCCTGCATTTCAGTGTTAACTTAGTCTGAAAACAACACCAAAATAGCAAACACAATAACGCTGGTGCAGTACTAACATTCCAAACTTTCCAAAATAACCATCTGAGCAGCAATTCAAGTTGAAAAGCAACTTGGCTAAACCTTGAGGCTAATAAACTGCTTGATTAAATTAAGGGGTAAAAACTAATAAATATTCAAAACACTTGATAATGCTTTGTTTGACATAAAGAACATTTAATGCAAGTCTCACTGGAAAACCTGTCAGGTTTTATACCTTAAATAGAGTTTTGCATTTAGAAACACTGAGTGATTCCATTTGCTGCCTTTGATTATTGTCTTCTGTCACTTTAATCATGCTGGTAAAATTACACGATTTCTGTGAAGTCAAATCCGTTTACAATGCAGTTTTAATATAGCTTTACAGCGCATTCTTCTATGCATTTTTATTTAGTTACTCCCTACCTAGCAATGCTTTGCTTTGTTCTTGAGCCCTCATTAGCCTGGGGTTTGCTCTAAAGCTCTCCCAGGGATGAACTAAATAAAATACAGTTAACCCTATGCAAAGAGATGGTCTGGAACAACGGCCTGAGCCCGGGCACAGCGCCGGCTCTCCTGAGTCTCTCCCAGCCCTGCCAGAGGCTTGCTGTGCAGACAAGTCCTTGGCATCCACTGGCACTCTCTCCTCCAGGCTCTTGCCGAATCCTGCTGGATTTGTTGCAGAGCACCTCTGAAATCTGGATGCTGGTTGAGGCCATAATCAGCTTGAACTGCATCTCTTTTACCCTCTCTTCTCACACCTTCTTGTCCCACTAGACTGTCCACAACACTGCTGCTAAAGCATCTCTCTGGCACCTGTCCCACTTCTCCACCCACCCCCCTTTACTTGATCCATCTTACAACCCACAGGACTGCTCTGCTCTTTAGCTTCACTGCTGCCCACGTGTTTCCTCTCACGTCTCTATGAAGAGCTTTCTCGCACCCTCAGCTCAGTGCTCTCACCCTGTCTCACAGCACCCCAACCCCCAGGGCAGCCTCCCTGACCTGCCTGAAAGACCAGTGCTCAGGACACCCCTTCTGGGCTGGAGCTCCAAAACTGCCCACAAGTGCCAAACCTTCTTCCTGCCCCGTGATGAGACGTGTGCTCCCACCACACAGCGCGTCCCCTCAGCCCCAACTGCAGACCCTCCCATGATGGATCAAACATGATTATCCTCATAACTCAGGCAAGAATGGCTGAGGAGCAGTTGCAGCCCGAGGATCAGCTGTACTCCAAAGCTAGAGCCTCCACCACCACCACAACTCTGGACTGACTCAGTCATAACTGGCCAAGTGATCCTGCCCACCCAACACAACAACGTGAAATCGGGTTGCAGAGCACAGGAGCTTTCCTTTCCAGCAATGCTCCGCTCCTCCAACTGAGCACACCCCCTTCTGCCATCCCAATTTATTCATCATTTCGTCCTGAGTAAGTGCTTTTGTTTAATCTTGTCATCTACAGTTTGCACATTTTTGTCTTCCAATTTTCATACATGAGGGTGACAATGCTGGAAGTTTCGTAAGTGCGAAGCCAAACAAACAAGGCTGAGAGGAGAGCTTTTAAACAATCAGGGCCTGCAAAGCAACAACCAGCACCACTATTTCACAGAAAACATGCACTGCTCCTTAAAAAACCCTCAGTCCATTCCATCTCCCAAGAATATTTTGACATTCACAACCTGTGAACAGATTACTTCCTGAAGTCAAAGTATCTGCATTGGTTATATCTAACACAAATTCTTATGGGCTTGTTTAAGTGTGTTTCCTTTTTATACCAACAAGAAAAAGATTTATACAGTTCAAGTCCTCTAAGTATCAAATTTAAAACATTTCTTTCAGATTCAGAGCATTAAACCCTGGTAAGTGCTAGTTGCTGATGTTGTTTCTTAATTGTTGTTATACCCTGATAAATAAGCTAAAAATGTGAGAAAATACAATTAGTCTACAAAAACTGATTTAGCCATAAGCTTCATCGTTTAACTTTTTATGGTATCCATGACAACCATTGGTCCATTTATTAAATAACAGCATCCCTAGTGTAATACACAAGTACTAAAAATCCTAACAAATAAACAGCAACATTTAGTTAAGTGTGTTTAGGTCAAGCACACAAACCAACTGGCACCAAAACAAATGACAGAACAGGAGGAAAAAATAGATTGCAGACTATAGCTTTCCTTACCTTAAAGTCATCTGGGAGCAGTAGCTTAGATGTCCTTAGGAAGCTTAATATATATCTGAAAATTTCTCCATCTCGATCAATGAAATAGTGTTGTTTTAAACTGTCCAAGACAATAGGCTCTGTGCCATTAAACAGACGACTTATTCTGAAAAAAAAAAGAAGAGAAAAAGAAATGGGCAAAATAGACAAAATCTCATTACAGCCCCAGGGCTTAAGAACATCCAGCCAATTTGGGTGCATCAATTCAACGTGCATAAGGTAACACAGTATCTTAATTTGGTGACAAACAAGTGCACAGAGATCGATGCCCTGGGCATGTGTGTGCCCCCACATGCTCACACACGTGTGTGCACATGCAGACACACCAGCACGAGAGCCCTGCAGCTGCCCTGGCACCCAGCCCTCCTGCCCTCAACCAGGGCTGCCAGTGAGGCCCGTGACCCCAGCGAGAAAGTGCCCATGACACGCTCACCCCATGGCTGGCAGAGTGATTCTGGTGAGAACAGGAATCACTGGCTCCATCACACATCCCTGTTCACCACGTCCTAACACAGCAGCACCAAGTGGTTACTTGGAGATGAGCTTTTCCTCCAGCTTGGCTGCTGTTGATGCAATGCCACGGGAGCCTTCCCGTGCTAGAGGGGAGGCTGCCCATGCACCCAGATGAGCTGTGTGGACCTGTCAGTGTCCATCCAACACAAAAGGTTTTGACAAAACAGAAACCAATGGCCTGTGCAGCATGTACAGCACTGCCTGTGGGACCACAGTGCCACCACCAGCAGTCCTGGAGATCAGAGCCTGGCAGCAGGAGAGCAAAGTGGCAAATCTTTTGTGAGCAAAGAAGAGATCTCCGTCCTGTGAGATGGAGAGATCAGCTGGTTACAGGACCAAAGGATCACTCCAGCTTTTTCCACGTCCTGAGGAGCGTGCTCCACAGAGAGCAAACCAGGCATCTGCCCGGCTGCCGCTCCTCCCGCCTCTCCCCTCCAAATGCCTGGCTCCTCTCACAACACTTTGTCTTCCCATGAGAAATAACCCAGCTGAATATATGTTCTTGAAAGGGAAATCGCAGGAGACAGACAGCAAAGACCTATTAAGTAATTGAGTCCATCTCTCTGACAGTGCAGCATTGTTCCCAACTGCAGAGTGTCTCGTCTTTCAAAGTCGAGTCTTAAATAATCCTGCCACTGAGGACTCCTCCATTTCCCAGAGAGACCATCCCGCAGCCGCCTGGATTTCACCATCGGGCCGCCCCTTCAAATGGGCCATGAAATCCCCCCACATCCCTCGCTGAGACCAGGGCACGGCTTTCCCCTGCCCTGGAAAACAAGCTTATCAAACCCTGCCAAAGGCCGTGTCCAGCACTGCTGATGAATGCTGCAGCCACAGCCTTGCTGCCTCCCTCCTTCCAGCCTCACCACCCCGCCCCGAGCTTTCTGGGGAGCGGATGGAAGTGACTCCAGTGCCCATCCCGGTGATGGGAAGGGGCAGGTTTGATTCCCCACCATCCTCTGCAGTGCTGGTGCTTCTGGCTGTGCCCTGCATCACTTGGTCTGGGTCCTGGTTCATGCAACATGGTGAGATGTGCTCTCCACAGCTGCACCTCGCTCTGATCTTCTAACTTCTCAATATACTTGCAAATTTAATTAATATGCCATTTATATCTAACTAAACTGTGGAAATATTAAACAAAACTGAACTTAGTAAGTCCCCACTGAATTTTGCTAGGAAACTTCCTGTCCTCTTAAGCACAGTCTCCAGCTTTCACTACCTTCTCTCATGACTCTGTCAGCATTCAGCTACTCTGAATTACTTGTGAGAGTAACCAAATGCTCCCCTAAAACCTAATTATTAACAGGTTTACTGCTTTCTCCAACCTCCAGCGTTTATATGGGATCAGAGAACATTGTCCAGTTCACGGGGCAACATTTAATTCATATAATCCCAAAGTTCAGTAAGACTAGTGAGTCATTATTTTCTTTTTCATTGTTGTTTTAGGGCCATTTGCCTGAGACAGTTAAAGCTATTGCTTTGTACAGGGTTACATTTTATTCCAGGAACCAGACAGTTAATGCATTTCCTTGGACACACACATGAGCCAGTGTGCTGTGCTGGGACAGAGTGAAAGCAGAGGAAGCACTGGTAGCTTAAGGTTCAGTACACACATTTACTAAATCTGCCTGGCTATTGAAAGTTTTGAGGTCTGACACCTAAACAAGCTGGGCTGTGGCTGAGCCCTGGTCCCCTCTCTCTGTGGATCTGCAGAAGCTGCTGCTGGGCTCTGCACGCGCATGGGGGAGGGTTTGCCAACAACGACAGGGCGCAGAGAAGACAGGGTACACAGTTTTAATGGGCCACTCTTTAATGTAGTGAAGCATTTTTTTGGTAATGAAAACAAAACATGAATTTTGAGGCCTTTGTGGAGTGCCTTGAGCTGTATTTCTTCACCAGTGAAATTACTGCTGGGGAAAGAAACTCGCAGAGTGTTGAAAGACTTAACTGCCACCCCAAAAACAGAGTGATGAATAGTTTAAGGATTTATTTGACGTTTTAGGGGGCTGCCATGTTCCAAGAACCAACTCTGCTGCAGCATGTTGTAATGCTGCGTGTGGAAAGCACTCCTGCTTCTCCCTTCTCACCAGTACAAACCATACCTGGAACAGTCAATCAGAAAATGACTGTGGGAGCACCAAGGGAACTCAAACAGCAGCTTCAAAAGGGGAGTTGGCTTGCCAGGGTTACTCACCATGTGTGAAGCTATGGAAAGGAGCACAGTGACCTGGAGCAGCTCCACAAGCCCCATGGCGACCCCGAGCGCTCTGTGGATGGTCTGTGGTGGCCAGAATGAAAGGCTGCACACAGAATCATGGAAGCAAAATCCACCCAGGCCGTCAGACAGCCAGCAAGTGCAAGGGACAGGAATGGCTTTGCACTGTCCAAACTTGTTGATGATCAGAAATAAGGTACTAGGCTGGCTGGTAGCCTCAGGAAGCTGCTCCTTCCAGTGCCATGAGTTAAAGTCGTGGGGGCTCAGATTGGGCAGAAGTTATCCCACAAACGGTTGTTTTTATGAGCTGTCATGGTGACCAGCACTGTAGTGGTGGACAAACTAGGTAATGGTATTCTCAGGAGGCACTTGCTTATGGCACACAGGAATAGTACTTCCAGTGATGCTTGTGAAGAGGTGGGAGGCACAGGAAAACAAAGTCAAGGTGAACAGAGCTGCACTTGGATCCCACAGCAAAGGGTGAGTCTGAGCAATGAAGACTCCTTCAGCATTCCTACCTTTTTGCAAGAGACACTTCATCTTCTAGTTTAGAAACACTCTTAAAATTTGTGTCCAATACTTAACTTCCATACAGGGAGCAGACTGAGCCAGGATCAATTCCAGCAGTTGCAAGTCTAAGGATAGCAAGTGTGCCTTTCCATTGCCTCCACCTCCCTGGCCGGGTCCCGCCATGCTCACACCATCTGCCCCGTGCACAGATCCTCCCACCCGCCTGTTCTTCCTCCTCAGTTGCTCCTGCCCTCCTGGCACCGTGCTCTTCCCAACTGCCTGGACACTGGCAGTGCTCTGCTCTGCAGTGCTGCCCACCCGACTCTCCCAGGGTCCCACCTGCATCACGTCCCCACGGTGCAGAGCCAGCAGGGCTGCTGTCCAGCCCCCAGACTAGCTGGTCTCTCTGGCACGTCGAGCCCTGGCTGGATGCATTTACCCACTTCTCCCAACATCCAGAACACAACCTGTTGATCCTATTTCTACTGTTTCTTTGTGCTTCTGTTGTTTCTGCTAAAGGCTTTTACATTTTCAATAATGTTTTGCCAAAACGCCAAGGGGTGAGTTTCCAGCTTTGTACCGATTTTACTATGATATTAAGATCTTCTTTTATTAGATTAAAAACAAACAACACAGCCAGCCAACCCACAAGGACAAGAGTGCCAGTAAATTCTTTTCTTAGTTTCTTGGGCAGAGAAAGAAGCTGAGTTCTGCCTGCAAGTACCTACAGACAGTTGCTGCTGCCCACCCCCCACAACCGTGGTGACCAATTTTCCAGCTCCCTGCAGCACCTGTCGAGGTGGGAGCACAGAGGGGGCCCACAGGGCAGTAACTTCAGCCCCTACAGCAGAGCTCATGACACACCATCTCTTTCTTAAACTCTCCCAACTCTATCTCAGGAGCAGCCAGGGCTTTTGGCACCCTTGGTCTTCCCAGCACCATCCCTGAGCACAGCCATGGCTCTGCACGTCACACACTGCTGTCAGCAAGTTTAATGGCACTCTGGGACAGGAAAATTTTTGGGGTGGAGTGGGTTACTTTCTGGTTTGGGGCCAGTTTAGCCATTTTCTTGACAGCTTGATTTTAAACAGAAAACAGAAGTTCTTTCTTAATAAATCTGGTTCCAGAGGTCTTAAGAGGAGCACCCAGTATTGCAGGACCTGTGGGACAACAAGCAACTGGGGCTGTGGCAAGCACCACGAGACTGCTCTGTCCCCAAGTCCCTCTGCTGGGGGGGCACTGTGGTCCTGTCGTGCCCCACACGCCGGCCCAGCCAGCGCAGCAACACTATGGAAGTAGAGCTCTCTATCACAATATTGCACTAAAAGTATTAATTTAAGTAATTATGTGATTAATATTTAACTGTTCAGTGATATTTCTGTCATTCATAATTTAGTTGTTTACATTTATTAAAAATTGATTTTGTAGACACTTTTTCTGCCCAATGTCAAATCAGCAGGGAGTGAACATTTCAGCAAACTGTCATTAAAACGTGTCTCTTAATTTTATGGGAGGAGAAGTGAAGAAGAGAGAAATGCCTGTCTGTGGGTCCTACGAGAGTGTGGGTCTGTGCTGCCCTCACTGCCCCATGCTGTACCTGCCTCCTGTGTGCCCTCCTGCTCCCCAGCACAAACACACAGCGCAGCCAACGCGAGCTCTGCAGCTCTCCCTGTGCCTCACACTGCTGCCAGCCGGGCTTGGCTGTTGGGCTTGGCTGTGGAGCTGGAGGAGGAGGTGATGGTTGTGGGAAATGCCACAGAGAGGAAGAAGGGGGTTGTTTAGAGGCAGGACACTGAGCATGACCTGACACTGCCCCGCGGGACATGTTAACAAAGCTCCCAGGTGTGTGAGCAGAGTCCAGTCACTGC